CTTGAAATGCCCTCAAGTTAGTTTGATGTTTATAGTCTGTATTGTATTCTACGTACTTTCCTTGCCGACATCCCTAGTTTAACATTAATTACATATTCTTTGTGATTACCTGGTATATTTCTTAAGTAATTATTTTTAATTTACCTGTAGTATCATGATATTGCTTAACACCTTCAACGTCCTGTTGTACACAATTTGCAACAATGTTCCTATTAGTAAGTTCTACACCTTTGGGAAACCCAGTAGTACCACTCGAATAGGGCAGAATGCCTATGTCTTCAGATGTTCTACTAACTCCTTTCAATGCATCTAAATCAACATTGTTGTCTTCAGACAGTTCTTGAAATGATATTGTTCCTTCTGGTAGATTTTCATTCGGTTCTTTTACGGTGATTACAGGTATTTCTTTCTTCATTAGTTTGAAAGCTTCTTTGATAACTTTTACTGTTTCTGTTGAACCGATGATCATGGTCGGATTTGAAAGTAAAAGTTGCTTTTGCAATTCATCTGAAATATTTGTGAAAAAAGGCTTTTATTATTAAATTACATATTTCATTAGTTATATTTAGGTAAGAACTGGTCATATCTGTTATGATTACCTATCAGGCGTATTTTTAACGTAACTACCGTTTTCAAATCCAGCTGCACGCGTTATGCGTATTTAAAATGCCTCCGCCGATTGAGAAGCCCGTCCACCGTGATTCGTTTACTTAGTGTTAAAGGTATGAAAGCGATTGAAAGTCAACGTCAGATTTGTGAAGTATATATGCATAAAACTTTATGAGCGATATAATGGTACGGAAATGGGTAGAGCTTTTGGTGATGACCAGAAGATTGAAGGTGGCCGCCAGAATGTTCATGACGAGAAACGAAGAGGGCGACTTTACGTCATTAGTGAAAAATTGGTGCAGAAAGTTGACGAAACTGACAATTTGATTACCCTCTATGCTGCTGTACGTGCACCCGAGGCAGCTCACCCAAGGCACTAGTCTTTTGAGAACCAGATGAAGTCTTAGCAAATGTGCAGATCTGGGGTCAGGATCTGACTGAGAAGGTCCCTGTATGTAGATAGGTTATAGGGTCCTTCTCGTATGGGTATACGAGAAGGGCACTATAGCCTGTAACAATCGGCAGGGAGGGTCACTATAATCAAAAGTTATGTAGAAAGGAACAGGGTTAATCATCCTCCATATAGATCCCGATCTAGAGCCCGGTGACTACCACGTGATCTAGCATTTAAAGAAACATCTGGGTAGTTAGCCACGATGACGAAGATGACGATGTCAAAATGGCCGTGTTGTGGTGGTTGTCAAATCACGTGTCAGGCTTCTATAACTACGGGATTCAAAAGCTGATTGTACGATATGATAAGTGTCTTAATATTGGGGAAAATTATGTAGAAAAATATATTAAAGTGTAGGCTTGCATGTCATATTAAAATTTCACTAATAGTTGACTTGTCTTTTTTTATTTCAAAACGGCATTTATTTACAAAAAAAAAATACTTGTATGTATGATGGTTAATCTTTAATTACTGTGATTACTTCGTTTATATAATGTTTTTTTTCTCCCGTGTTTGCTCTTGAAACAATGTCTATATTTACTTATCAACTTACGTAATGAAGATAATAACCGCTTGTCTTAACATGAGTGCAGTAGATATTATCAATATTTTTAATTCAATTTGTTTTCATCATCGAGTTCTTTTGCAACTTAAATTCACATCATATTCGCAGATCACATTCTCAATTAAATTTAATTCTAGAATTATTTTAATTGCACCTACATGATATGTGATGTAGTTTTTAAAGATCTCCAAATTTTATATAGAGGAAAACATTCTAAGATAGATAAATAGATACTCACAAGGAGTGTAAATAGGGTTTACAGTAGTAACTTCACCACCAGCTTGAAGAATTCCAAGCAAAGCAACGACGAATTCTGGAGAATTATGCTTCATGATACAGATGACATCGCCAGTTTCGACTTTCAATTTGGAACGAAGATTAGCAGCAAAGATTCGGGAAGATTTGTAAAGATGATGATAGGTATAAGTTCTGTTGGTGATACCACAGACCTGAAATTAGTTTGTTTCTTAAATTAAATAATCCTTATAAAATATACTTGCTGGAATAGTTGTAGCGCGCAGAGAGTTTTTTTATTTTTTATGTATTTATTTCCATATTGCACATTGAAAATGGTCTTATAATAAAATTTTGTACGGTACATGACCCAGTCAAGGTACTAAGAAGACTTAAAAATAATTTGTAAATTACTATACTTCATACTTATTAATAATGATAATTGAGCTTTCCGTGAGTTGTGAATTTATATTTCAGTTAAAAATTATTTATTTGAACAGAAACTTATAGTATGTTTCCTGGATGAGAAATTGTTTTAGTTTTTTTTAAATGTGTTAATGTTATTTTCTTTTGTTATATTAATATTCGAATTTTATTATACATACATTATAGGATATATCTGTACAATGGACTGTTTCTGTATATTTCTAACTTAGGTTCAGAAAGGATCAGGTTATACTGGAGACGCGGATATTTAGAAAATTCAAAATACATATTAGTTGCTTACCGAAAAATAATACTACTTCCACGATAGAAAATGATGGGAGGGTTAACATGTTCTCTTTAATAAAGTGTGGTCTACAAATTTCCCTTTGATGGACATTTACAATAACACGGAGACTTTTTTTGTAAGATAAACAACTCATGCGCATCTGTACTTTGCCTTTGGCTTTTATGACACCAAGGGACGGGAGGAACTACGGTTAAAGCAGTATTGTCCTGGACGAACTCTTTCACAAGGAGCTCTACTACTACTAAAAAGTCAGGCTCAGAAGGCGAGCTAGATGGTCAAACGAGCTGTAGCGGCGTTAAATTGTGACGAATGAGGGAAGGGAACAGATGACTTTGTCCTGTAGTGGGAAAGCAACGCCTGAAAAATGAGTCCCAGTTTAAAAGTCTACTGCGAAGGCTGGATATGTTTAAGTCTTTATATTAGTTTTATTCAAATTAATGAATTCTTCCATAAAAACAAATAATTGTTATTTTGAGAATGAGAGCGAGAGCGAGACCCAGAACGAGAACGAAATGTTTAGCAGTTCGTAAAATATTTTTTTGGCATTGACGCTTAAGGATATTTGCATCCTCGACACATGACAATTAAAAAAGATGTTAATCGTAAAAACGTGTTCTAGGACAGCACTATAACGCTTCGTTGATTACTGGCAAAATGTTTTAACAACTGGTATCATTGAATATTTGTATATTTTATGTTAATAACCTACACATTAGCCAATCATTAAGCTCTATAGCTCACGTTAAGCCTTATAAAAAGCGGTTTAAATTTTTATATTTAACGTAACTCCTGTTTGCCATATTGTTTAGTTTTTTATTGTATGGACATTATTTTACAAGGAGTGCATATTCATAAATTCTAGAATAACTCGATATCCGACACTTTAGGATATAGATAAGAGATAGCGGGCTGTCAGAGATATAAATAATCTCAGTACAGAGTACTAAAAAACCGACCTCAAAAGTACGTGGAATTACATATATTTGCCAAGTTTTATTGAAATTGGTTACCGGAAACTGTGCAAACCCGGATTCATCATCTAGTTCGCCACTATATGGTACTTGACACAGGAGATAATAAAAATCGGTCCTCACTACTCAAAGTATATTGAGAGAAAAACGCCTTGAATTAAAGAATAGCAAAATCGACCATTAAAATAATTGCTCGTTATACTAAAATTTAGGCGCTATTTATAAAAATGAATCTTCATGCGTGAACAGCCACCCTTAGAGGTAGATGATTTTCTTCAAAATTAAATGGGATCGCTATGGAGGCACTCTATTTCCAACAAAGAAAGAATCATGAAAATCGGTTCACAAATACCGGAGTTATCGTGTTACATACATACAAAAAAATACAGATGAATTGAGAACCTCCTCCTTTGTTTTTTGAAGTCGGTCAAAAACAGTTTCATTTCCAAACTATTTATAATATAAAATAAGTATGTTCAAACGTAATTATTTAAATGGTTGATTTTGCTATTCTTTAATTCAAGGCGTTTTTCTCTCTCAAATGCTTTGGGTAGTGAGGACCGATTTTTATTATCTCCTGTGTCAAGTACTGTATAGTGGCGAACTAGGGGATGAATCCGGGTTTGCGCACTTTCCGGTAACCGATTTCAATAAAACTTGGTAATTATATGTAATTCCACGTACTTTTGAGGTCGGTTTTTTTTTACGGATCCAAAATGACGCTCATTTGTTTTTGACATGTCTTGGGCTTTATAGGACCTCGGCTGACTTTAAAATAATTTCTTGCGGCTTGTGCCATTAATGTATTAGCTGATCTCTTACTATTATTATTAATACAAACATTGAACACAAAGAAAAATTCCTCCGATCCGAGAGACCTCGAACTTGCATATGTATTCTCAACTAGGGCCACCGACTGAGTCATCAGACTTTAGGAATTTCTCTGTTTATGACAGATCTTTTGGGCTTTTCGGCTTTTATCACTTAATTTAAAAAATATGACATCATAATTGAAAAATATATGAATATCATGGTAGTAACATATTACATTATTAGTAACATATTCAATAAAAATCAATGATTTATTAAACAGTGGTGAAAGAAATCCATGTCAAGAACGCAAGCACACCTTCAAAAGTAGTCTTAATAAGATTGTGCGGAAACTTCAAGCGGGTAGGCTCGGGTGACCAGCACCTGGTAGTGGGATGTATATAAGTTGATAAAAAAGATCACACAACGCGCTATATACACACCAGTAAAAGACAGGTCGCGTCAAACCTACTCTTGTATGATCATGAATGGCGTCGTGTGTCAGCTTGCACTGGAAAAATACAGCTGAACATGTCTTCGAATATTTTTTATTCAATAGCAGTAGAGGTCCTTGTGAAAGACTTTGCCCAGGGAAGTACTGACTGTATAGATTATAATGCTTTCGTGGTTATTCACTAAATGATTTCACTAATTTCAGGCTTCTTACTACGGCATCAGCTCTTTTTATTTTCCCGATATTTCGGAACGGTTGCACGTTCTTGAGTCAACCCGTAACTATGGAGCGTGCAACTGTTCCGAATTATCGGGAAAATAAAAAGAAGTCTTACCGTGGAAAGAAGCCTGCCATTAGTGATAATCATTAAATAATTTGCCTGGATATATTCAAGACCTATATGTGGAAGGAAAATGTAAAAATAAATTAAGGAAGTACTTACTGGCTAGAGAGAATCGCTGTGGACAGATAAACCCTTAGTGGTTTTTGAGCTACAGCTGCTTGTAATATGTTTAAGTTTTTGTAAAAGCATTAAATAAATTAAAAAAAAAAAAAAAATTACGGCCACTTTATCTATTTCTGCCGCCAAGCAATAATGTGCACATTACCACGTTCCGGTCTTGAAGAGTAAGAGCCCTGTTGAAATTACTGGTACATGGGATTTGTCAAATTATGTTTTGACGTGACAGGTGCAGAGGCAGTGCCTCTCAGATCTTTGATGATCGTTTAAAGCTCTGGATGGCACTGCAACTGACACGGATTTCCGTATCGCTTACCATCAGGCGCCCGATTTGTTCGTCCCGTCGCTTGATGTAAAAAGAAAACAATAAATATAAAGTAAATAAAAATGCTAAAAGGTTTATTACCACAGCAGGTTTATCAGCCCATTTCTCCATATTCCGCCAAATATGTTCAGGTATTGTGGAATTTGGTATTTCTATGTCTTTGTAAGGTGACCTGACTATTTTCGCAGGAGTCCAAAGATTCTCTTTGAAGACCGAATAATTTCTTACGAATAAAAGTCTTCCAGCACTTTTGGATAATAGTTTCATAGTGTTCGTCATTTTCAAGTACATTAAATATAATTTTGTCAAAAGCTTTTAAAATTTAATTTTATTTATTTACTGCTTAAAATTGTAACACTCAAATTATAATGTTAAATAAATAAACAACAACTGCAAAAATTTCGTGCTTTGAACTTGTCTATAATTTTTCTTTTAGTAATCGCTATCCGACAAAAAATATCAACAAAATGTTTAATAATACACAAGACACTGGCGCAAAATAAAAATAATAACCAACTTTGTGTATGAACATGAAAAGATAAACACTCTTAACAACTTATATCTCGCTCTGCATAAAACAACAAAACCCCGATAAGAAAGAGACAGCAACAAGTATTAAAACAAATATTTATACGGAACACGATTACAAACGTACGTACTTGTTTCACAAGTAACATTCATTGACTGGGGACATATTACAAGGTTACTAACCGGTCTAATATTATCGTTTTGACAGTATTATCATTTTGCTTGGACAGTGTTGCGAGTTTATGCCCTAAAGGACAGGCCTTTTGATTACTATGTTTACTTTAACTTAGTATATTTATACAATACACAAATTACTGCTTCACTTAATAATTTTTATTTTTATTTGACCATTAAATGTCCCTTATTCAATAAATGAGATTATAATAATAATCATCATTTATTTCGGACTCTGAATCCATAGTGTTAGTAATAATTGGGAAAGTATACTTTGAAAGAAAGAAAGAAAGAAATTTAATATTTATTAATGAGATTCCCCTGTAGGAAGGCTCGAGACGCAGTTACCGGCTTGGAGCTGTGTGCAGTTGCACCCAGCGCCTCACCACCGAAGAGTCCCATGTAGCGGCAAGGGTGCTAAGGATGCCATTCGCGCTGCCTCGTAGACGAGTCAGGAGTGAGGCACAACGCTTTCGTATAACGGGATAGAAGCAATCCGTACGAGCCTCAGTAAACATAGTGGAAGCACTACAGTATCGCGGCAACTTAAATGGCAACCTTAGACGTACAGTGCGTCATATGCAAGCTGCGTAAACTTGAACCACTCGTTACACGTGTACAAGGACTGGCAAAATATATATGTATACTATAAGAACGTTGGCCCACTAACGTAATCAACGTTGGCCCACTAACGTAATCGACGTTGGCCCACTAACGTAATCAACGTTGGCTACTTTGAGTTCATCTTTTATTTCATTGAGCCTAAAATATTGTTAGGCTCTTGTTATACACAACCCACATAGTCCATTGTCCCAAATACTAGTCGAACACTTCAATTTTCCTGTATCGTTTCTTGTAACTTTCACGCATGGTATTGAAGAAAAAGAAAAAAAACAAAACTCCGTTATCGACGATGTGAGCATCATACGGTACAGGGGTTAAATGTGTGAATATATAGTGTGTTTCTTTTTTGTGTTAGTGTTATTGTTATGTTTTGTATACAGTTTACTTTGATATGTCTTTTACTTATATACACACGCACGCACGCACGCACGCATGCATTCACGCACGCACGCACGTATGCACGCACGCACGCATGCAAGCACGCACGCAAGCATGCACGCACGCACGCACGCACGCACGCACGTACGCACGCATAATAAACATTCTGGTCTATTTTATAGGTGAGTAATTTTTTTTGTATGTTTGATATTGTCACTTATTCACTATATATTACCAAAAATAAAACTGGTTTTTAATTTGAAGCTCTACATATTTCATTAAATCGAGCGCATTTGCTTTGTTCACCTCGACCTTGGCCTGTAAAGAGCGTTGGTTTGTTTAAAAAATTAATTTATGCGATTTACATCCGAAGAAATAGTTTTATATGCAATGTGTAATCGCGTATTGCATGTGGGAGCAAGTCCCATTATTAATTAATATTAATCAATTAATATTTAATTAATTAATAATAATAACGCACACACTCAACATAGCCCCGCACTAGGGAATCCCTGTGTCGCGGGTGCCATGGACACACACATAGACAACCACAAATTACACCCAAACTCACGAGAGAAATAAATGTAGGTCATACCAATATTTCGCCCGGCCCGGGAATCGAACCTGGGACCTCTGTGTGGCAGTTCGGCATGGTAACCATTCGGCCACGGAGGCAGTTATTATTATCACATCGCACTGCTATTAAAACAGTGTTATAACTCAAAATATGTGATATTCATGATTATACCATTGCTGAACGTAAAATTTGATTGTCTTTGAAATACATACGTAAAACCATCGTTGGAATATTGTGAGAAACAATTAAAATATATCTACTTAACTAAAAGATGTATTTGAAACTCCCACCGAAGTGATTTGCATGGATGTGTATGGCTTAAAGCCTCAGAGAGTACCAGTGCCCGGTAGAAACTTTATAAGACTATGACGATGAAAGTTATTACTACGATTATTATATTATAGAGTAAGAACAATAGCTATTAGACCTAAGACAAATATAATTGGACGTAGTTAAGCAAAAAGGATCCAATCCACAAAATTATCAAAAAATGAGTTGTGTGTACCAAACGGTTCCTAAAGTTTTTAGATCAGCAAAAAAAATCAATACATAGGTAAACATAAATAAATATATCTGGAGTTACATGACATTGTAAGTTTTGAAATTAAAACAAGAGTGAGATACACTTTTAAACTTCAAACTGCCATATCTCGAAAGTGACTGATGTGATAGATAGATAGACAGATAAAACGTTTATTTGGATCTCATGCATAACAGAAAAATATGTAATATAATAAAAAGAAAAAAACTAGCAGAGTTGCAGCACTGCCGAAGAACCTTGTTATGTATGTGTACTGTAGCAGTACAAAAAGGCCATAAGCTCAGCGTCGGTGCTTACTCAGGAGCAAACTGCTGATATTCAGCTATTATAAATGTGCATTGGATCCTTTTTGTTTAATTACGGTCCAATTATATTTTTTTTTATAAAAAATGTTCCGTACTCAAAAGTTTGTGGAATTACATCTATTTGCCAATTTTTATTGAAATTCGTTAAACGAAAGTGGGTGAAACCAATAAACCGGGTTCATCCCTTAAATTGGTACCCTAGAGGTTAAATATTTTCTTAAAATTCGATTGGGACTGCTACCAAGGTACCCTTTTTCCAACAGAAAAAGAATTAATGAAATCAATTCATAAATGTTGGACATAACAAACATACAAGTCGTCAAGGATTTGATCGACAGGGATTACAGGAACTATCTATTAAGTGCAGAGCGTGACATTTGTCGGGATCCTAGTAAATTCTGGGATTTTGTAAAAAGTAAAAAGCATCATTCAAGTCAACAACTGGAGTACATGCTCAATGGGGAAGTCATTGCAGACCAGGATGCAGTTGACACATTTGCTGATTATTTTAGCTCGGTTTTTCATGGCGAAATTCCAGAGCTGGATGCTGAAAAGGCTTCACGCCTTACAGATAATCATGTGGCGACACATAGCGTCAGTATCACCCTTATTGGGGTCATCGAGTTGCGTAAGGCTGCTAAGCGACTCAGGTCTTCATCTTCAGCTGGACCTGATGGTATTCCACCGTATATGGTTAAGGACTGCCTATCGGCACTCGAGCGACCTCTCTTACATATTTTTAACCTAGCTCTTCAATCTGCTATTTATCCAACTAAGTGGAAGGTATCGAGAGTGATCCCGACACCAAAGGAACCAAAATCCACCGAGATGTCAACTCATAGGCCAATCGCTATTTTGTCCGCTTTTGGTAAACTCTTTGAGAGTATTATCAACGCTAGCCTTATAAGGCAAATCAGTAATCAGTTGGATGAAGCGCAACATGGTTTCCGTGGTGCGCGTTCCACAGTTACTAACCACATTTGCTTTTTTGATTACGTGCTAAGTCAGATGGATTCAAACCGACAAGTCGATGCAATATATTTTGATTTCAGGAAAGCTTTTGACCTCGTTGATAATGACGTGTTACTTAGTAAATGTTCAATCCTAGGTTTCACTCCCAAGTTGCTATCTTTTCTCGCCGACTATCTAAAGGACCGCAGACAATATGTGCAAGTCTCTAGTTTTAGATCAAATGAGTTTTTTACCCGCTCAGGCGTAAGCCAGGGGAGTAATTTAGGTCCAACGCAATTTTTAATTATGGTTAATGATCTCGGGAAGTGCCTTACTGGAGCTTATTTCCTTCTATTTGCGGATGACCTCAAACTCATGCATCCAGTTAGTAATGTTGCTGACTGCAATTCGCTTCAGCGGGTGGTCGATGCCGTAGCTCAGTGGAGTGCAATTAATAAGTTGCCGCTCAATGCACTTAAATGTAAAATAATTTCTTTTACTCGGTCTTTAAATCCGATACATGCGGACTACCACCTGTCGGGTGTTCCGCTTGTCCGTGTCAATTCAATACAAGATCTGGGCCTAACGATAGACACCCGGTTGAATATGCACGATCATATCATTAATATCGTTAAATCCGCTAACAAAGTGTTAGGTTTTGTGATTAGGACTGCATATCAATTCCGTGACCCCAAAGTTGCTGTGATACTGTACAATACGTACGTTCGTTCCAAGCTCGAGTACAATGCTATAGTGTGGGATCCTCAAGAAGAGCTATACAGCTTAATGATCGAGAAAGTGCAGCGTAAATTTGCTCGGTATCTCTACAAAAGGTTGTATGGATATTATCCCTTTCTTTTCCCTTCACTATTTGTGTCTGGGATGGTAGGGATCAACTCGCTTAAACTGAGCCGGAAGGTTCGGCTGCTTGTGCACTACTGCCGGCTTTTACGCCACAAAGTCGATAATCCTTCCGTTCTTGAAAGGTTGGCTCTATTTGTGCCGAATCGCTACGTTAGCACGATGAGTCGCAGGGGACGGCGCGCACATCACCTTTTTGCAGTTCCTCAAGCGCGCACTTTACAGGGATACAATGCACCGACCAACAGGGCAATAATTTCTTTAAATGACTTCCTTGCACTAGACCGGAATGCTGATGTGTTTGCCGATAACATGTCGAAACTCATTGATGCCATTACTCGTTATGCTAATATAAGCTATTTTTGATTTTCTGTTTTCTTTAGTTAGTTTGTAATAAATGACTATTTTATATTTAATTTTAAGGTAATACTTATATGTAATATTAGTAGTGTATTAGTATTGTATCGATTTTTTTTTGTTTTTTCTTGCTGGGCACTTTGGTTTAGCTGTAAGTCCGCAAGATGTTTTATAATAAATAAATAAATAAATAAATACAAAAAATACAGTAAAATTGAGAACTTCCTCCTTTTTGAAGTCGGTTGAAAATTGGATTATTATCAGTTGAAAGCTATTAGTGTTATGTTCAAAAATGTATATCTTACCTCATTTACACAACGTCCATCCTCATTGTACAGTTTTATTTACAAGTTCACTGCAGAACAAAGGTTTCTAATTCATCACCCTAAATTCTTCAAGAAGTATCAACCATTTTCAGAAAAATAATAATAATACGATTAATAATAATAATAAAATAAGCAAAGTACTAAATGTATAATGTCCTTACAAATATTCAGTTGAAACATGAATATACAAAGTTAAAACAGTTCAACAGTTAACGGTAACTTGAGAGTTATACTTGACTTGCCTACCGTAAGTTGGTAGTTTTCCAACTCAGAAAGTCATACATTCACAACTATTGCGGCATTTTATAGGAACATTGATGTAAGAAACATTGAAGTGTAGTTATAATCTTCACAATAATAATGAAATTAATAAAATCATACATTTTTATATTATTATGCAATTTATCACATAAGCGCGTCTATAAATGAAATACCAAATAAGAAATGCCAAACGAGCACATAAATTACTAAGTCTCAAACTAGGCAATTCCATGTACTATGAGTACCAAAGCAACGGAAGTGGAAACACCCAGACCAAAACCAATTTAGAAAAGTTCATTTCCCAAATTGGTTCTACCAGGAATCAAAACCGAGACCTCCTTTTTTATACCAAGTGACAGGAAGAACATGTCTATCCATAGCTGTTGCAGTACCACTCATAGCTTTAAATAAATTTTTGATTATAAGTACGTGCTCCTCTCCAGTTTGCTGTGCTTTATACAGGGTCTACAATGATCTGTTAAAAGATTGACCTTCATTTTGACCTGAATCGTGAAATGACCTTGAATTTAAAACATTGCAGAAAATGCAATAAAGTATTGACATTGAAATCGCTAAGATCTGAGGGACACTGCCATTGCGCCTGTCACTCTGATTCATAAGTTAATAAGTAGTACATAAATGTAATTTGACCAGGCCTTTACCCTTAAAAGCGAGAACTCAGTAATATTCACGTTACTCCTTGGCTTCAGAAATGGTCTTTTTCGGCTTATCGTATCGATGGCACACACGGCAATGCCTGCCATCGTGGTGACAGGATTCGATAATCGGCTCAAGATACTCGCCAATAGTTGCCGAGGTTCCCCAGACGTACAGGAAAGAAATGGTACGTCGTGCAGCGCCTCAAGAATAGTTAAAGTGGCAGTAATTACCTCCTCATCCAGATGCGCCTACAATGCAAACCACTGGGTCACCGAGGTCGTCAAATACACCACACTTATTATTACAAAATTGTTTGAACCGGTCATAAAAACCGATCGCAGATGCAAAACGCTCACGTCTTTTTCACTCTTATTAGAGACCCCCACACTAGCGTCTTTCGACCGTCAGCATCTTGCCAATGCACGCACAGCGTCGACATGATATCTGCGCGGCGGCGACGCAATGCGAGCGCGACTTATATCCAACAATCGGCACTATTCCGCAGTCGCTCTGTACTGGCGTTGTGTCATCGCTCTGTACTGGCGTTGTGTCACCGCTCTGTACTGGCGTTGTGTCACCGCTCTGTAAAGGCGGGCGCCCCGTGTCGATGCTCTGTGACGCTGTGAGTGCGTTGGCAAGACGCTGTGTGTGCTTTGGCAAGACGTTGTTGCTCGAAAGGCGCTAGTGTGGGGAGCTGGGGGGTCTAGGGATAGTATCCCTAGCAACGCAGTGTCGTATCGACGCTGTGCGTGCGTTGGCAAGACGCTGACGCTTGAAAGACACTCTTACACAGACATAAAGTTATTTCTGACCAGCATAATGCAAAGCCGTGACTATAACAGTGGTGACTCCCTAACAAAACACTCATCATCAATCCTGGTATGTTGCGCTGCTGAGCACAGGTCTAATGTTAGAAGAAGATTATTAGGTCGCTGCTCAACACGCTGGTCTAGCTCGAGTTCTGGATAAAACGAAGAGCTTTGTGAACCTATTTCACATACAGGTTTCCGTGTGGGAACAATAAAACAAAGCAAATTAATGAACTGACATCAAGAGCGCTAGGATAGCATTATTTGGTCATTACAATATGACCATCATTAACTCAATGACAGACTGAGGCTTGACAAATTATAACTAATTGTCGCTAGAGTTGCACGATCGCTTTTGGTATGAGTTTTTTTCGAAATTGTATTTAGTATACAAACGACGACCTCTGTGTCCTAACGGCGTGCATTGTAGACACTGCATGAAGAGGTCCCGGGTTCGACCAATTGCGTGAAATGAATTTATCTAAATTGGTTCTGGTCTGGGTGTTTTGTGTCCCGGAGTGAATTCCGTTACTCTGATATTCATAGTATAGAGAATTTCATAGTTTGAGACAAGGTAATTCATGCGGTTATCTGGTTCATCATGATTATTAAAAATAAACTTACCTCATATAAAAATAAGAACTGATCCGCGAGCAAGCTCCGTTAGAATGAGAGCCTGTTTATTAAAGACTGATGTGGTAGTACTCATACGTTCAGTATTGTTACTAATGATATGAATATTTATAGACATGTTTAGAAAAAACGCTAGAAAAGTTTGAATTATTATAACAACTTGAACGAGCCACTGGCCGCTTAAACCGGAATGTTTAATCGAAACGAAAAGACGATTGAAATTAAACATTTCGTAAACTCGACACCAGAACGCTTAATTTGAAAAATAATGATTCAATATTAAGTGACGGGATGAACAAGTCGTGCAAGTTAGACACCTACCCATAAGGTATCAGTTTCAGTGTCACTCAGAGCTTTGGATCGCAAAGATCTGACACGTCATGTCACCCTGGGACGTTAGTTGACAAGTTCCTTGTGCCTGTAATTTCACCAGCACCCTTATCCTTCAAAACCGGAACACAGTAATGCTTGGTGGCAGAACTACGCAAGGTGGCAGTACTACCCTAGAAGAACTCGTTCACAAGGAGCTTTTCTGCTACTAACTTTTTATAAATTTTTGAACGGACTATTTTAGCGAAAATGGAAAAAATACAATGGTCTATTGACAGTTGAATAACAGTACTTAACAACATAGTTCTGTATTGCGCCAATAGATGTCGCTTTAAGATATTCTGTACATTTCGCGTGGTTGAATTATAGTACAATAAGACAAGTAGTGCAACTCCCGCCTGTTTGGCGCATCGATGTGTTGCTTGGAGCGTATGGTTGTCACATTGTTATGAATTCATTGTAGAATAATAGTCCCGCAGACTTTTTCTATTCACTACGGCTAGGGTTGGCTGGAAGAGATTGCTTGTAGAGATAAGGTCACCTTTGTATATGTCCTTTGTAACATGTCATTTTTAATATATTTTCTTTGTGAAATAAAGAATTTTTAATTGTTACTTTAGTTGCATCTACTGGTGGTAAACATACTTTAAAAAAAGAAATGTTTTCATCAAAGTATAATCGTGCTCTATTGAAATAATCTGTGTCAAATGCAGTACTTACATTTTCGTATTAATATTTTTATTTTAGCATCGCGAATGTATATCTGAATTATGGGAAATAGAAAAGAAATGCTGAACAAATTCTGAATTTGAGGC